CAGCCACCAGCCCGCTTTGTGCGCGCACCTCCGCACCTGAGTATTTTCCACACTGCGCCTCCTCTGAGCCTCGGTGTGCTGATGTTTTTCCTTCTAGTTGAAGAGTCTCTCCTCAGCCAGCCTTCCTGTGGTTCTGGGTGATGTCCGTTCCGTCTCTTAGTTGTATTTTTGAAGTGGTTGTTTGCGGCAGCAGTCTCCGGTGTTTACCTATGCCGCCATCTTGGTCTCTCTCTCTTGATCTAAGACTTTTAAGACTCATTTCAGGTATTTGACCTCTAGAACTTTAAGATAGAAAGTTGTTTGTTTTAAGCCACTAGTGTGGTAATCTGCTACAACAGCAATGGGAAACTGACACAGACATTTATCCAGTAAGATATTGTTAGAAGAAACTGAGTTTAAGCCTCTCAAATCATTCAGCTAGCTTCCCTTGGGCAAAGTTATTTTGTGTTGAAATTTCACATTACATAGAAAAAATTAGAGCTAATTTAGAGGTATTTGGTCCCATAGATGTTACAAAGAATTTCCCATCGCGTAAATGTAAACATGGTTCTGACTTTGAGGACTTAAGATAGAAAAATAATTCATTAAAATTAAGGTCACACGTTTTACTTTTTATTTATTTATTTATTTAATATATTATTTTTTATTAATTTTAGAGAGGGAGAGCGATAGAGAGATAGAAACATCAATGATGAGACTCATTGATTAATTGCCTCCTGCACGCCCCCTACTGGGGGGGATTGAGCCCTCAACTGGGACATGTGCCCTTGGCTGGAATTGAACCTGGGACCCTTTAGTCCACACGCTGATGCTCTATCCACTGAGCCAAACCAGCTAGGGCTACTTTAAATCTTTGTGTCAAAATTTCTACATTTTTATCTATTTCATGTTAATTCACACATTTAAAAAAATTTCTATATTTTCCAAATGGACCCACCCACTATAAACTCTTTTAAAAATTATATTTTTATTGATTTTAGAGAGTAAGGGAGAGGGGGAGAGAGATAGAAACATCAATGACGAGAGAGAATCATTGATTGGCTGCCTCCTGCATGCCCCACTCTAGGGATTGAGCCCACAACTCAGGCATATGCCTTGACCGGAATTTAACTGTGATCTCCTGTTTCACAGGTTGATGCTCAACCACTGAGCTACACTGGCTGGGCTGGGCTAAACTCTTAATTTATGTATGGCTTCTTTAATCCAGCACATTGTACATTTGAAATATGTGCAATTTATTGTATGTAATTATTATTATTTTAAAATTTATTTCAATTGTTGCACGTATTATAGATGTCCCCTTTGTTATTTTTCCCATTGAACTCCTCCACCCCACACCTGCCCCTTCCAGACTGTCACAACATTATTGTCTGTGTCCATAGGCTTTGCATAACCTATATAATAAAAGCCTAATATGCTAAGTGTCCGGTCGTCCGGTCGTCTGGTCAGCAGTTCAACCAATCAAAGGGTAATATGCTAATGATATGCTAAGGCCACTCAACCATTTGCTATGATGTGCACTGACCACTAGGGGGCAGACGCTTTAACCAGTAAGTTAGCTTGCTGCTGGGGTTCGGCAGATCAGGACTGAATGAGATGGGCCAGACATGCCCTGGAGCCCTCCCAAGGTTCCACCCTGGTTGGCCAACCTCTGTGTCCCTCCCCAGCCCCTACTGTGCACTGGTGGGGTCTCTTGGCCTGACCTGCACCCTTTCACAACCTGGGACCCCTCGGGGGTGTCGGAGAGCCAGTTTCAGCCCAATCTGCAGGCCAGGCTGAGGGACTCCACTGGTTCACGAATTTGTGCACCAGGCCTCTAGTATGCATATAAATTCCTGGGTTAATCACTCCCCAATGCACTCCATCCCCCATATTCCCTTGAAATTCATCAGTCTTTCCATGCTTCTATGCCTCTGGATCTATTTTGTTCATCAGTTTATTTTGTTCATTGGGTTCCTCATATGAGTGAGATCATGTAATTATGCTCCAATAAATTAGTTAGAATTAAAAATTCTAGTGATGTATAACTCATGTCAGGTCAAGAGCACAGGCAGCTGAGTCACATCAGATAGTGGTGGGAAATATATCTTATATCTGGGAAGAAAGCAAGGTCTCATATATAAATATAGGAACTGTGATATTAAATGAAGGCAATTCACATTTTTACATAAACTGTAAGATCAACACACACACACACACACACACACACACACACACACACACACACACATTAAACATCACATATTGGTTGAAGAAAGAAGTGTAATACCGATGCACAAAACATCATGAAAGAACTTTAGAAACATAATATAGCAACTCATGATGAGCCCAGAATAGATCAGAACTACTTCCCACCATACAATCCGTTTTGATTATAAAGCCATTATATTAAAACAAGTGCTTTCCCCCACAAATTAAAAATGGGACTCCCATTTGACCCAGTGATCCCACTTCTAGGAATATAGCTGAAGAATCTAGAAACACCAATCACAAAGAATATATGCACCCCTATGCTCATAGCAGCACAATTTACCATAGCTAAGATTTGGAAACAGCCTAAGTGCCCATCAGCAGATGAGTAGATTAAAAAGCTGTGGTAAAAAAGAAGGAATTCTTACCATTTGCAACAGCATGGATGGAACTGGAGAGCATTATGCTAAGGGAAATAAGCCAGTCAGAGAAAGATAAATATCACATGAGCTCATTCATTTGTGGAATATAATGAACAACATAAACTGATGAAAAAAAACAGATCCAGAGACAGAGAAGCATCGATCAGACCTTCAAACCTCAGAGGGAAGGTAGGGTAGGGTGGAGATAAGGGGGAGAGATCAACCAAAGGACTTGCATGCATGCATATAAGCCTAACCAATGAACACAGACACTGGGGGGTGAGGGCATGAGTGGGGGTCAGGGGGCAATGGGGGATAAGGACACATATGTAATACCTTAATCAATAAATAAAAAAATAAAAAAAATAAAACAAGTACTTTTAGGATGGCTTGTTATGCAGAAATAGGTAACTGCTACACTAATAACAGAAAAGAAAACTGAGATTACTTATAATAATACTAGAGGTCCAGTGCATGAAATTCATGCATGGGGTGGGGTCCCTCAGCCTGGCCTGCACCTTCTCCAATCCAGGACCCCTGGGGATATGCCCGACTGGCTCTCGCAATCTGGGACCGCTGGCTCCTAACTGCTCGCCTGCCTGCCTGCGTGATCGCCCCTAACCACCTCTGCCTGCCTGCCTGATCACCCCTAAGCAACTCTGCCTCACCCCACACCCAGGACCCAGATTCTTCCGGCCAGTCTCAAGCACCAAGGACCTCGGCTGGCTTTGCCCGGGCCAGCCACAGCTGCAGGAGGCCGTGGGCAGGCGGCTTCACCTGGGCCGCAGCCGCAGGCACCCGGGACCATGGGGTGGACGGCTTGTCCCTCTCCTGGGCCGCAGCCCCAGCTGTTAGTGCCCAGGACCATGGGGCAAGCAGCTTGTCCCTCCCCCGGGCCGCAGCCCCAGCCGCTGACGCCCAGGACCATGGGCGGGTGGCTTGTCCCTCTCCTGGGCCACAGGCACAGGCGCAGCCGCTGGTGCCCGGAACTGTAGAGCGGGCGGCTTGTCCCTCTCCCAAACTGCAGCCGGGCTGGTCTCCATTCCTCTCTCCCCAGTGTTGAGTGTCTGAGCAGTTCCAGCATGAGCGTGAGAGGGCATGAGGGCGTGACGACCATTTGCATATTAGCTCTTTATTATATAGGATACTCTTTCCCATTCTAGGCATTTGTACAGATATTTGAAAATAGCATTCATTATTATTCTGTTATTGAAGTTTATTTCAGATAACTGCATTAAAAAGTGTCTCTATTTAGACTCTTATAGTTAACCAGAAGAGGTTGAAAGAATATGCATGTTTGTGCAAAACATATGACTCTGAATCACAGAACTGGACAGGAATTCAAGCTCTCTAGTGAGTCATCCTTTGGTCACTTATGTACATATGTGACATATCTATAGATCACATATTAGTTTATATAATGGATGATGATAATATGGTTCATTCCTATACCTTTAGTGGTTATGACAATATTTAGAGTAGGGGGAGGTGCTTCATTTAAAACAATAGAGGGAATCATATTTGTAGGCAGCAATGAAACTTTTCAAGTAGAAGAGGGTGATAATTAATTGGAAACATAATTAAGCCAAGCAAAACTCCACCCCAATGTGAAATCCCTTTACACATGGACACCAATCTTACATACATCAATGAATAAACATACACCATAAAATAGTTTGCATAGCAATAAATGTACAGACTTAAAATTTTTCTTCCTCATACTCAAGGTCATCTCTGACTCTAAGGGTTTATTATGTCGATTTATTGAAATTTTTGTTTCCATGTTATCTAGAATTGGAGACATGTATTTGATTGTCAGTTTGCTAGTGACTATGGTAAGAATGTGGACCCCAAGCTAAATAAGATACAGGACCCTAATGAGAGAACACAACACAATGACCTATAACACACACTAAATGTCTACATTTTCAGAAAGAGCAGGTATGGTAGTGATATATGAAGATATGATTTATAAAGAATGTTAAACTGTGCTCTTATATTTTCCTTTCCTATGAAATGATATAGATGGCTTTGGTTACCAAGTGCAGTTTATTTCCATAGGAGTAGTACAACTCATGATTGTTCTTTTAGTAAAATAAAAGAAAAAATTACTCAGTATGATAGATTTCATTTAAAAAATTGTTCTTAAGAAATCCATGTAGTCTCGTGAGATAAATGGGAATTTCCAAATATTTCACCCAAGGATGGAATCAATTTGGGAGAGGAGAAAAATAACATAGGAAAAGCTGTTAGGTATCACAAAGTCAAGAAATTAATAAAGTGATTCAATTAAATTGTGTAGAAATCATAGAAACAGAAACTCCAGGAATAAACAGAGAGTAAATTCTACATCCACAACATCTGGCTCTGAGGCTTTGAGTCCAGCTGTCATGTGCATTTCTTCAGCCCTAGAATAATTGGTACTTTTACAGCTACCATCCCAACAAGTCTTTTCAGAGCCCTCTTTATGTCATTGTTCCTGAGACTGTAGATAAAGGGGTTCAGCATGGGTGTGACCACAGTGTACATCACTGAGGCTGTTTCATTTGAGTATGAGCTCTGAGTAGCAGCAGAGCTGAGGTACACGCCTAGGATCGTACCATAAAATAAGGAGACAACCGAGAGGTGAGAGGCACACGTAGAAAATGCTTTATACTTCCCCTGAGCTGATGGGATTGCACGTATGGAGGACACTATCTTAGAGTAAGAGTAAAGGATACCAGCAAGGGGACCACCACCCAGGAGCACAGCTACAAAATACATCACCATGTTATTAAGAAAGGTGTCGGAACAGGCAAGTTGGACCATCTGTTTGATTTCACAGAAAAAGTGGGGGATTTCAAAGTCTGTACAGAAGGACAGTTGCAACACTATTAAGGTTTGTACCAAGGAATTCAGGGCACTCATGATCCAGGACATCAGAACCAGCAGTCCACAGAGCCGGGAGTTCATGATGACCATATAGTGCAGGGGGTGGCAGATGGCCACATACCTGTCATAGGCCATCACGGCTAGCAGGAAGTCATCCAGTCCTCCAGAGAATATGAAAAAATACATCTGTGTGATGCAGCCTGCATAGGTGATGACTTTGCTCTGTGTCTGGATGTTCCACAGCATCTTTGGGATGGTGGTCGAGGCGACACAGATGTCTACCAAGGACAGGTTGGAGAGGAAGAAGTACATGGGCGTGTGGAGGTGGGAGTCAGAGCTGACAGCCAGGATGATGAGCAGGTTTCCCAACACAGTGATCAGGTACATGGAGAGGAAAAGCCCAAATATAAGGGGCTGCAGTGCTGGTTTTTCTGATAACCCCAGAAGAAAAAATCCTGAAAATCCTGTGAGGTTCCCTAGTTCCATGTGGTGGAGGTGACTGCCATAATATAGAAAAAATGACATTACTAATTTTCACACAAGCAAGCATTAATAACCTAGCATAAAGGAAGTAATTTCCATATTTGGTCTATGGTTTGGTCTCCTTTGGGACATCCCTAGGGCCATTTCTAGTTAGAATTTCCTTTTCCATGTGAAGACACATGAAGAATTCTTGTCTTAATTCTTTCAGTACGAAAAGTAAAAATAAAAAGCAATGGATGGGATGTAGAGCACAGCAGGTGTCTGTAGTTAATAATACTGTATCGTGTATTGGAAAGTAGCTAGAGGGTAGATTTTAAAAGTCCTTATCACAAGAAAAAAACTGTTAACTATGGTGGTGACAGATCTATTGTGGAGGTTGTATTGCAATATATACAAATACAGAATTATTATGTAGTACTCCTGAAACTGATATAATGTTTTATGTCAATTATACTTCAATTAAAAATGTTTAAAACAAATGGAGAAGACACAGTAGGACTGATTGACGGATTGGACCACACAAAATTTATGAACTTTATACATTCTCTACAAAACACTTATACATACATTAAAGAACTAAATGGAAAACAGTCACTTTGTGTGAAAGTCTCTATTTCTTTGTTAGAAAGAATTCAATAAAAAAATCAAACAAGATGATAATGTCAATAATATTGTGATAAGTCTGCACGGTAACAGATGATTACTAGACTTGGTGTGGCAATCACATTGTAATGTATATAAATGTTGAATCAATATATTGTATACCTGAAACTAATATCACATTATATACAAACTATACTTAAACAAAAAAGGGATAAAAACACTTTGATAACAATATCCAAAAGCAAAGAACTTTCAGGTCTGTAATATAGTGAAAGTTACCTTGGATGCCAACTACACTTTAATTTAAAATAAATAAATTAATAAACAAGTAAAGGAAAAAACTTACACAGAGAAATTTAGTAGAGACTCTAAATGGTTTACAAACTCACAAATTTTATTATTCAGCCTCACAGGTAATGAAATAATTACAAAGTGAATCTCATTAGCTTACTCATTTTCATCTACCAAATAAATTTTTAAAATGTGAATAGACAAGGTGAGGGAACATACTGTGAGATGTATGTCTCATGCACTGCTATTGCAAGGGTGTATTTGTAGCCTTCCTTGGTCTGGACCTTTCTCATGCATATGGAAAGATAGTCTAATATTCCCCCTCAGAAAATTAAAAAAATGCCCTCACATCACTGTATATTCCTCCACAGTTAATTACCTATTTGTCTATTTCTGTCAATAGATAAAGTCCTTGAACTTATGTTCTACTTCTACTGAAAGGACTTTACACTTCCAATGCCCTTTCTTAATTTGTCTGCTATTCATGCCATTTAATTGTCAACATTGGAACTTGCATTTCTGAGTGCAAAGTTCCCTTTCCTTTGAGCATCATGAATAACACATTAATGTATTAGTAATGTATTGGTATCTGGGCTATGTTCGAATGGTTCTAAGGTAACTTCAGGGACAAGTTCTTGGCTCTCAGTCTCTCTGATGTTCTCCTGCCATGTCTATTGGGTTCTCGGACTCACCTGCATGGGAACTCTGAGAGGAAGGTTTCCCTGTGGAGGTCCAAATCCTTGCCTGGATGGTTGATGATGCAGACCAGAACTCTGTCCCAGACAAGACAACAAGGAGTCAAGCACTGGTCTCCCAGATGGATTTAGGTGACGTAACATCCAGCCAAAGGTTGCACATGCTGAGGGTCTGCAGTAGAATTGCTACTTACATGCTCTGCGTCTGCTCATTAGGCACATTTGCTGCTTGTTACTGTAACCTCTAAGCACATGGTTGCCCCTGGGGGACACTGGTCTGGACAGAATGGAACGTTTCCTGATGATTCTCTGTTCCCAGGAGACTATGCAATAAGCCAGGTGAGTGCAGTTGTGATTAGTCCTTCATTAAATGCCCTGCTTCTTGACGTCTACACCTCCCAGCACCTTATCTCAACTGGAAGGTAAAGTTTCAAAATGGATGGACCTCGAGGGTGTTATACCCAGTGAAATAAGTCAGGAAAAGACTAATACCATAGGATTTCACTTATATATGGATCTAAAGAGCAAAGTAAACAAACCCCCCTCCCCCCAAATTGAAATGCACTCAAGGACTGGTGGTTGCCAGAGAAGGACCTTGGGTGACAGGAAGAAGGAAGTGAAGGGATTAAGAAGTATAAATTGGAAGTTTCAAAATAGTCACAGATGTAAAGTACAGCATAGAGAATTTATCTATATAAAAGGCTAATATGCTAAGTGTCCTTCCCACCTTCCGATTGGTTGCTTTTTTTACAGCAGCATAGTATTCCATCGTGTAAAGGTACCACAGTTTCCTAATCCATTCATCTACTGATGGGCACTTAGGCTGTTTCCAGATCTTAGCTATGGTGAATTGTGCTGCTATGAACATATGGGTGCATATATCCTTTCTGATTGGTGTTTCTGGTTTCTTGGGATATATTCCTAGAAGTGGGATCACAGGGTCAAATGGGAGTTCCATTTCCAGCTTTTTGAGGAAACTCCATACTGTCTTCCATAGTGGCTGCACCAGTCTGCATTCCCACCAGCAGTGCACAAGTGTTCCTTTTTCTCCACATCCTCTCCAGCACTTGTCATTTGTTGATTTGTTGATGATAGCCAGTCTGACAGGTGTGAGATGGTACCTCATTGTTGTTTTGATTTGCATCTCTCGGATGATTAGTGACTTTGAGCATGTTTTCATATGTCTCTTGGCTTTCTGAATGTCCTCTTTTAAAAGGTGTCTATTTAGGTCCTTTGCCCATTTTTTGATTGGATTGTTTATCTTCCTTTTGTTAAGTTGTATGAGTTCCCTATAAATGTTGGAGATTAGGCCCTTATCAGATATAATGTTGGCAAATATGTTCTCCCATGTAGTGGGCTTTCTTGTTGTTTTGTTGATGCATATAAAGCTCTCGCTGGTGCCAATTGCATGCATGTTTTTCCATCAGTCATTGTTGATCGTGAATTTGGTTGACACTTCTATTATAGAGAAAGGGCAAATAGCAATATTAAAATATTTCTTCTAATTAATTTCCTTTCAATGTGCACCAATTCATGCACTGGGCCACTAGTATAGTCAATAATATTGTAATAACAATATTACAATGATATTGTAATAACTCTATTGGGTATCAGGGGTGAACACTATGTAAAGTATATGATTGCCTAACCATTATATTGTTCACCTGAAACCAATACAAAATAATAGTGAAGTAAACTGTATTTGAAAAAAAAAGTCTAAAAGAGCTCTTTCTCTGCCATTGAGGTGTGTGTGTTCCCTTCTCCTTCACCATGTCTTCCCACAAGACTTTCAGGATCAAGACGTTCCTGGCCAAGAAACAAAAACAGAATCGGCCCATTCCCCAATGGATTCGGATGAAAACTGGCAATAAAATCAGGTACAACTCGAAGAGGAGACATTGGAGAAGAACCAACCTGGGCCTATGAGAAATCACACATGAGAGATGACTCACATATTTATCCTGTATCCAGGTTGCCTACACCTTGAACATTTTCTTTGGACTCCTCCTCCTCACTCTTGAACATTTTCTTTGGACTCAACAAAGTATATTTAACATTTTACTTGTCCCTTACAACGTTCAGTTGAAGTAAGGTTTATTATTCCACATTATCTTCAGAAACAAGAGAACTGAAGCCTGTTTGATTACATTTTTAATAATAACATAATGCAGTTAAAACTTATTGTACAGATCCAGTGTTCCCACTTCTAGGAACTTATCCTAAGAAATCCAAAACACCAATCAGAAAGAATGCATGCACCCCTATGTTCATAGCAGTGCAATTTACAATAGCTAAGATCTGGAAACAGCCCAAGTGCCCATCAGTAGATGAGTGGATAAAAAAACATGTGGTCATATACAACATGGAATACTATGTAGCAGTAAAAAAGAAGAACCTCTTAGCCTTTGAGAAACCATGGAGGGATCTAGAGAGTATTATGCCAAGCAAAATAAGCCAGTCAGAGAAAGACAAGTATCATATGATCTCATTCATATGTGGAATCTAAAGAACAAAATAAACTGATAAACAAAATATATCCAGAGGCATAGAAACATGGAAGAGGTGGGTTGGTGGGGGGGAAAAGATCAACCAAAGAACTTGTATGCACATATGCATAACCCATAAGCACAGACAATACGATGCTGAAGGCCTGGGGCAGTTGAAGGGTGTGGGCTAGAAAGATTAAATGGGGGAATAAAGGGGACAAATGTACTTTCAACAATAAAGATTTAGTTTAACAAAAAACTTATTGCGCATCACCTCAAGTTATATATAAATAGACCCACCAACCATGTACTCTTAATTTCTGCATGGCTTCTTTAATTCAGCAAATTGTACATTTAAAATATGTGCAGTTTGTTGTGTGTAATTACACTCTAATAAATTAGTTATGAAATGGAATTTCTGGACTGGAACCCGGATTCTTTGTCTGCCGGAATCAAAGAATGAATCCATGGACAGAAAGTGGTATAGCAAAGGTGGAGATTTATTGAAGAACAAGTACAGACTCCCACATGGGG